CACTCAATAAATCAAATGCATATTTGTGAATTGGCGATGTTAAATTATACGGCCAAGAACCGCCAAAATACGCCCACTTTTAACTTTGTTGACTAGTTACATTGTGCGGAGTTAGATACTTTGTCTTATATTAATAAACGAGTTTACAGCACCACTTTGTAGATGTTGTACGTAGGAAATATATCTTTTAATTATGGCCTTTTGACGTTTAATGACAACATTTGTGGTTGTGCTATTGCGCATAAGAGTTTTAATATCTAATATTATTTATGTGAATTTTAGTAGAAAAATATTATATTGGACGTAAGATTATTAGAAGAAAGTGAAGCTCAAACAAGATTGCTATTATTAAAGTATTTTGATTTATACAGAAATTAAAATTAATTTGATTAATATTTTCTATTCTAAGCCCAACGTTTAACTGAAGTGCTGGTAATATAAAAAGTTACACTCATTTCGAATTTAATACAAATTCTTAATTAAACTTACAATTATCATTGTTTCCTTAAATTTAACAATAAAATAAATTCAAATATTATGAAATATCACACTTCGTAGATTAATAGAGACCCCGTGGTACATACAAAATACTGATTTACATAAAGATATAAGCATTCCGACAGTCAAACAATAGATAAGAAATAAAGCACTTAAATTCTACTAAGATTGAATATATCAAGTTTACAGAACTGAATTGTTGAATAGAATAATCTAATTTAATCCGAGGAAGAAGACATGTAACCATCAGCAAACTTATGAAGAAACATGTTTTTCATCATTATAGCCTTAAAAGTTTTAAAGAGTCTAATACAAAAATGCTGCTCAAAGTGTTTTATGAATCTGAGAACAAATACTGTTTTTATAAATGACGTGTCTCTCGACTAAAATAAGACGTATTATGGTAGCTTTTATATAAAATCAAATTGTTTTTTAAATATTTATATTTCTACTCACGAATCTTATTTATACTTTTAATAGATAGGCCACATCATAGATCAATATAAGAATCTTTTACAAATACGTATTGCCAGTATGAATCTTAAAACCTATTTAAAATTCTTTAAAGTATATAAAGTGGATAAATCTCAAAATTATAATAGAAATAGAATCATATCAATCATTACCAAAAGTTCACAAATATTAATACAATGTAACTTAATTATCAAATACTTGATAAAAAGAAGTACTACTACTACTTCTACTACTACTGCTAGATCATAAAATAGTATAGCATATATTGGCAATATGATTCTTCGAACTTATTAAAACTTCTTTAAAGTTCCTAGTAGATCTCAAAATGTACTCATTTTTAGACCTTAAACAATTTTTCCATAAGTAAACCTAAAAGGTGGGATTGGATCTGAAGTTGTGTAGATTATTATAACAAAAAATGTTAGCTTAATTTTTTAAAGTTTATAATCATATTTCATAATCAAAATTTTTCTTAAATGTATTATTACAATTATATTATAGAATAACGTAAATATTTTTATGTGAGAATTTTTTTTAGTTTTTCATTCAAGATATTAGTAGAGGAACACTGATTTATCTGAAGTTAATAAACTATTTGGATTATTATAACTTTAGGTATACGCTATCTTTAATTGATTATCTTTTATTTATTATTTCCAAAAAATTTGTTACTTCTACCAATTTAATCATATGAATAAAGCAATTATATTAAGCAATATATTCATGATAATGTAATATAGTATATAAATACAAGATTTTCCGCCATTTAATATAATAAATCAACTTAATTTAGTGGAGTTGAGTTACATTCATGCAAATACATTGATATAATTTAAGCTTCTTATAAAGACTTAATATGCCTATATAACAACAAATAAAAACAATTATATTTACACCATCAAAATTATTTTTATAGGAGTTTAACAATATCAAATATCATAATTTTTTACTCTACCAGACCAAATACTCTTTTTTGATTTTTAAATGATTCTAGGTTAATCTAAGATCGGTAAGATCAAATCTGCAACCTGTTTTTTTCCTTGACATCGAAATTTTAGAATATAACGAGTTCAAGTACAAAAATTAAAATTTTTAAGAATTAATGTAAGGTATGATTGTGTCTTCAGTAAACTTAGTACAAAAAAATATATACGTATTTTTCTCTCAGATATATTTGCCCTAATTTGATGTATTTTCGATTAAAATAAAAAATTTTTGACATATTTCCTTAAAACGGTTGACTTTAGACTTCGTTCTTTGGGGAAAGAAGACTAAGATAAAAATTTGTTTACATTTATTCGTAACAAAATTGCTATAGACATGAAATTCGTATCGCTTAAAATAAACTATTCTAAATTAAATTTTGTCCCGATGCCTAGAATAAAAGTGGGTAACTGATTTAAGTTTACATTCATATTGAATTATTTAAAATCAAAAACAACACTGTACCACAGGGTTATACACTCATAGCACCACATCCAACTCCACAGGGCTATAATTTTTTGACTTTAATACCATATTCGACTCTAACCTCTAAGTCAGGTTTAACATTAGAATAATCCTGAAAATTAGTAAACTAGTATTATTCAAACAAAGTATTACTCTATAGATGGTAATTAAATATTTTTCTTTTTTCATATTTATTAATTTTTTAAGCCGACATTAAAAACCTGAAAAGTTATTTGAAATTGTAAATCTTAAGTTAATTTTTTTAATTAATTTGTCAAATCGGCCCACTGTTATGGATGTATTTTTTTTTACAAATTCTATATAGTTAGCACCTTTAGAATATAAATTACTTAATTTTTAAAAATAAAGTTATTTGCAAAATGTAAATAAAGAAGTGTATATATTGTTAAATTATAAAAATTGTTATTGTTTTCGGATTAACATAAAAAAATAATACAATAAATAAAACAGATATGCTAATTAAACTTAACAATTTTAGCAATTTCAATAAAATTTTAATAAAAATTTTAATAATTATAATAATAATAAAAATAGTCAGATTAATTAGAAGAATCAAATAAAACAATATAATACAGTTTTTAAAATAGTTTTAAAATAAGATTGGTGATGTCGTCTTAATAGTACAAATTAATAAGAATAATTATGACTACTAAAATCACTAATTAGAGAAAGTCATTAAAATTAAGAAAAGTAGGAAATGGAGTTAAAGATCATACCTACCATAAATCAATATACGAAAATCATATGGAGGAATGGATCAACCTTATGCATAATTGTATTGCATTCGATGCGGTCTACTTTAGACGCGGCAAGAAACAAATTTCGTAAGACCCGATGTTTTTTATGTTGTATATTTACTTTTATGAATTATTTGGAAATTCATGATCAATTCGAAAGGATCCAGTGCCAACTAGAATATGTAATTTTTACATAGATTACACAAACAATGAATAGTTATTTGTTTATTTATTTGTTAGTTAACACTAAAATTAATTTTAAAGTTAACCAAGAATAAGGAACTGAACTACTAGGTACTTCTCCCTAAAGTATTAACGAATATTAATGCTGACTGTTTCTGATTTATTTGTTTATTTATTTGTTAGTTAACACTAAAATTAATTTTAAAGTTAACCAAGAATAAGGAACTGAACTACTAGGTACTTCTCCCTAAAGTATTAACGAATATTAATGCTGACTGTTTCTGATTTTCATGTAAAAAATTGTAAATTTTATAGCACGATATCTCTTAAACTAAGCTCTAATGACATAGTGCATAAAGTTGACTAAAATTGCTATCTTTTTAAGATAGCAATCGAGTAGGTTTCCCGGTTTGTTACAAGAAAATTGTACTAAATATAATTATTTTCTCGTATATATAAAATGTGTTATGTATTCCTTTGGAGAATTTCTACGTTTTTTTGTTCCAAAAAGGTATTCCTTTTAACTGCAGGAAATGCATCAGATATGAAATGCAGTAATCGTAACAAATTTTATGAAGTACTTACTTTTTTAAGAAATATACGCGCATTTTAAACTATTTTTATTTCAAATTTTTTTATTTTTTAGAATAATTTATGCTTTTTTATATATTTCAAATTCACATAGAAATCCGCTTTTATAATTTTACGCTTTTAACCCGATTTCGGTTTCCTTTTCTTTGTAATTCAACAATTCTTAAAAGATTTTTGACAACTTCATGTGCAACGAAACGTTCAACTTTTATTACAAATGCCACAAAATGAAATACTTTTACCGGAAATTTTAGAGGAAATTAAAATTTTTGCTGACAAAACCACTAACAACTTTGGTATTTTCATTTAAAATAGAAAAAATTAAAATAAAAAAAAAAAAACGAGTAAAAAGTAGAAAACTTCACAAATCAAATGCTCACTAACAAAACAGCACATTTTTATATGGAATCAAATTTTATTTGAGTTACTAGTGAATTCCTTAAATATTTTCACACCTGATTTGACCTAAAACGTTTGAAAAGTTTTAAATCGTGTTTCAACGCATTCAAGGAAAATATTTTAAGGACATTTGTAAAATGTTTAAATGAGATTTGAACATTGAGAAAAAAAACAAATAAAAGTTGCACACTAAATTGCTAACGATGAATACGAATACAAACTGTGAGCTAAGGTTAAAGTTAAAAATATAAATAAAAATAAAAATGAAAATAAAATATTTAAAAAAATTAAAAAAATTTGCTAAAAAAGGCATAAAAAATTTTAAACTCAAATTAAACAAATATAAACATTTTTCTTCATTTGAAGTCATAAACAAATCAATTAAAAAACGATTAAACGTTTTTGTTTATTGTATCTAAAATCTTCGCATTTTTTGTTGCCTCTTAAAGGCAGAAAAATAAATCAATTAATCGTCAGTGTAATAAAAATGGATGATTTCAGCTTAAATACAGTATAGATAATTTTTTTAATTTAAATAAAAATTTACTTGCGGTTATTTTACTTGTAAGTCAACTCAAAAATAAAAAGAAATAAATCTTTGAAGATTTAATCTCTTATTAAATTTTCGTTTCGTCTATTTTTTTATAGGAGCAAATCACGCAGTGTTGATCATGGCTTAGCAGCGCCTTTCGATTTGGACTCATTACGCTCCAAAGTGGAAGGACGTTTCGAGAGTGTTGACAGATTATCAAGTAAGTGAAGTGAATTTCATCACCATCATTATTTTTATAGTTTTTTAATTTATTTTAAATTAATATATTAACGCAAAGATATTTGTTTATTATATGCATAATTAAAAAATGAGAATTCAATAATAACGAGTAAATTAAACAGAATAAGTAAATTACTTCTTCAATTTATTTCATAAAACAAATAACATGAGATTGTTATTGTGATGAAATATTCAATCAAATAAGTTATGTTTACATACATAAGATTATACAGGGCTATTCATTTTGTGGTTCCAAAAGTAAAAGTAATCAAAACCTAGGATTTTGCTTGGACCTTACCAATAGCTTTAAGACAGAATATTGTTAAGGACATTAAATTCTTTACAGGAATTTACAGGAATGACTGATAAGCTCAAATTTTTATATAACTCCCCTATCTATAATTGTAAAAGCTAAGAACAATCAAATGAAATTAGGAAAATGTAATTCATTTTACTTAATTTTGTTTTAATATATTTATATTATATTAAATAATTTTATAATTATATTTTAATTAATTTATTATATGGTTTAATATAAAAAAAATTCAATTACTAAAAACTGATGTGAAACTTCGGATGGATTTATATTTCGACAACACATCTAGATGAATATATTGTAGCCGCGAATGACTTTCACCATAATTGATCTTCAACAAATAAATTTATGGTGTTAATAAATTAAAGAGTATGAGAATTATGAACTCTTTTTTTTTATTAAAATTTTTATTTTGATTGATTCGGTCAATAAGCACATCAGATTAAGCATACATACTGTAACATTCTTTACGAATATATCACAAATATTTGTCAGCCTAAAAATAATGAAAAATATTCTAAACTTTGAAAATTCTTTAGTCGATAAAAACATTAAAAATTTTGTTTGAGATATGTTTTTAAGGTTTCAATAAATTCCTTATGATCAAAAAAGAACGAGAATTAAAAAAAAACGCAAAATTTTAATTTTTAATAATATTCTTTATTATCACCTTCAAAGTACTCTCCTCCTGCGGCAATACATGCATGCCAACGCTTGATCCAAATTTCCATACAAGTTTTATAGGCTGCCGAAGGTATGCCCTTAAGTTCACGCAGCGAATTCTCTTTTATGGCCTTTATGGTCTCAAAACGCGTCTATGGTCCTCGCAATGGCAATTTGAGTCGGGGGAAGAGGAAAAAGTCACACGGGGCCATATCTGGAGAGTACGGTGCTTGGTTGATGATATTGGTGGAGTTTTTGGTCAAAAACTGCGACACAACCAACGCTGTGTGAACCAGTGCATTATCGTGATGTAAAATCCATGAGTTTTCCTTCGATAAATCTGCCCTCTTTTTGCGAATGGCGTCACGCAAACGACGCATAACGGCCAAATAATACTCCTTATTGACCGTTTAGGAAGGAATTTGAAGGAATTCATAGTGCACCACATCACGAATATCGAAGAAAACAGTCACCATAACCTTGATTTTGGATCGACTTTGGCGTTCTCTTTTCGGTTTCGGCTCACCTTCGAAGCACCATTCGGTATTCGGTCGATTGTTGTTTCGTGGGCATCACGGTTGCCACTTGAAAATTTTTTTTTGTACCAAAATTGGTTTAAAAAGGTACCATTTCTGTAAAAAAAGGTCCAACATTTTTTTGGACCTTTTTGTTTTTTCGTTCTGTGTTTTTCATAGTGTTATAAATGAACAAAATATAAAATAGTGCAAAGTTGCATTTATAAAAAAAATTAATTGGAAATATCCACAATAAAGTTGGGTCGTCAAAAATGTACCATTTTTTGAACATGAGTACCAAACGAAAAAAAAAGTATCAATTTTGGTACTAAAGTACCATAAGTGGCAACCGTGGTGGGCATGTTAAATTTATAGACCCATATCTCATCACCAGCTATGATGCGCTCGATGAATGTGGGGTCACTACCTGCGTTGGGAATCATCTCTTTGGCTACATCACATCGACGCTTTTTTTAAATGAAATTCAGCTAAAAATCGCCACACGAAAATTTTTTGACCTCTTTGTATAGACGCTAAACAAAAACTAATCGTACGTTATGCGTTTAACTTTGACAGAATGTGTATAATAGTGTAGCCAGCGTAAAAATAAAAAAAATTTACCGATTGGATAAGAGCGGGAATTTAAAAATTCTCATACATTTTTGAGATATTAGGCACTGACATCTAAGTGCATAATGTTTGAGAAAAAGCTACAATAGAGTTATGGCAGCTTTGTGACTTCATAATAAATTTAGCAATTAATTTAATTTTATATTAATATAGAATATACCACTTCAGTTATGGGCATCAATCAAATATATTTTGTAATAGTATCAGCACCTTTACTATTTATTTTAAATTTTTATTTTATGAAAAAATTTAAGAAATATCAATATATATGTTTCTATATATCGAAACGTTTTATCTATAAGTTATGGCTTCACTACAAGTTTTTTTAGTATATTTCTAGATAACTAAAAAGAATTTAAGATAAAGTGAGATTATCATGTTGTGCATTGATTCAATATGTCCTACAATAAATAAAAAATATTTTATCCAAAGTGAGATTATGTGATGTATTGTAATATGTGTTTCATACATAGAGAAAATAAATGAGGTACTTTAGGAAATATAACGTTTTAAAAAATAAGCCTCATCACAGATAGCAATTTCATTAAAAAAATTGCTATTCAAACAAGTACCCAGTCCATAAATTAAAACTACAAACCTTAAAATAAGGATATAATGCATTAGTTGACAATTCTGTTTGACATACCTTCTGCTCAAAAAGTATTCGGATTTTATTAATAAAATACATAAATTTAAATTTTATTCCAAATTAATTTTATCTCCTTCAAAATATGCTCCTTCTGAAGCGATACACATTTGCCAACGCTTAACCCAATCTTCAATACACTTTTCGTAGGCCCGTGAAGCTATGGCTTTTAGTTCCTTCAGCGAATTCTCTTTTACCGATTCAATCGAATCAAAACGCTTACCACGAAGGAGCAATTTGAGTTTCGGGAACAGGAAAAAGTCGTACGGATCCAGATCTGGCGAATATGGTGCCTGAGCGATGACAGTGTTGGGGTGTTTGGTCAACAAATCGCGTACAACAAGAATTTTCCATAGTAAAAATCGCTAAATGCACTTGAGGTAGTCTCACATTAACAGCTGATGTAAACAAACTAATTGACAGATGGCGCTCAAATTTGTGCCATATGTCAAGAAAGGGTTTACCAACATAACAAAATAAAATTTTTGAAAAGGTCTATTACTTAAGGAGTAGTTAACAAACAACAAAATCCGGATACTTTTTGAGCAGAAGGTGTATTATCATAATATACTGCCAAAACTATACCACAAAATTAATAATTTTGTATACAAATAATAATATATAAAATTATTAAATGCAAACAACAAATGCAGTTAAAAAAAATTAATATAATGACAAAAATATTAAAGCGGGTTAATAGTCCAGACAGTATTGACTGTTAGTAAATAATATTATATGTTGAATAATGCTAATATATGTTACAAGAGGTTTTTAAAATATTTTGTAATGAGTATAGAAGCGAAACTGAAATTTTTATTATTATTTATATTATAAGATATAATCTTATTAACTTCATACACTTCATTTCTCAGAATGCTGCAACTTCCTAAATTATACATATTAAGATCTTTACTGTAATGAGTATTCATTTAACCATAGTTTTGACTATCCGACATAAGCTTACAACTTTAAAAACAGAAAATAGTTACTAGAATAGTTCGTTGTGAATTAGTAAAATAATTAAGAAAATCAAAATAAAATTCGTCAATTTTAACCATATCAACTACTGAAGTAGAAACCGTGAAGTATATGTATAAGAAAGAAACATTAAATTTATCTAGAAATGCAAAATAAAATATAGAATATTCCAGTTATTTTTTTAATTATCAGACAACAATATGCGCTAACCATCACCAAAAACCTGACCTTACTGGCTGATAGCTCATTACTCGTTATCTCTGGAGATTACACCTATTTAATCTAATGTAGTAGTTAGTACTTTATTTGATTCGGATTGATTTTGCAACGATGTGATATTTTAAAATGAAGAAATTCAATTAGCGACAATTCTATTTTTTCATTTTAGACGTACCTAAAATCGGTCTATGAAATGAAAAAAATTATTAAAATAATTTTAACAGTAAAACAGCTGATATGGGCTATATTCTCATCCATTGAAGTGAAACAATGGGTGAGAATACAGTGTGACACATCTGATTAATAGTATGTGGTAAATATTAGTTTAACACTCCACGTTCGTAAGCATTTAATTTTTGTAAAGATAAAAGAAAAGATAAATAGATGCCTTCAATGTTATTTGAGTTGGATCGTTTATTTGTAACAGATCGTTTAACTTCTCTCCATTACTCTTACTCATATTAAAAACAGTTTAGTTACGGATAAGTGTCGAGGTATTACAATAATAGGTAAACCTGTGTGAAGGTTAGTTGTATGCTTTTACAACTCAATGTGCAGATATTAATGACGTCTTCGATTGGTAAATCTGGATTCAGTCGAGATTTACTCTTGATCTGTCAAATTTTGTTGCCCAATCAAACAATCTAACATTTTATTAAATACATATATCAAATCAAATAACACTTTATTTGACAAGTCATATAAAAAAGCTATTAATTTCAGGGTAATCTTGCTACTCTGGCAAAAATCTAAAATGTTATAATTTAATCTCGAGATTTATCAAGCAGAAATGCAAATTGCACTAAAATTAAATCTGGATCGAAAAAGTTACTTCAGATTTACCAATCAAAAATGCAAATTGCACTAAAGTAAATCTGGATTAAAGAAATTACTCCAGATTTACCAATTAAAAACGACATAAGTGAATAAGAAGAGTGTGTAGCATCTACTTTATTAATTTTTAATTAAAGTCTTTGTCGGGTGTACTTATCGGTGATTATACTTGCTAAAAC